AGACGGAATCCAGACAGAGACCTGGCCAGTACGCGCGGCCTCTCAGTCTCCGACGTGGTTCTGATCTTTCCAAAGTCCAAGGTGGCGGTGTCCTCGTTGGCCCGTGGGGTGTACTCTCTCCGGCTTGTCTCCCTTCCTGACCGAGGACCGCTCCCCAGGACGCCACTCACGGTGCCCTACCATGTCCCGAATGCTCTGTCCTCCGGCCGCTCTCTGCCAGGCTTTGTCTGTTTACTCGCCTCCATTCCGCTCCGTGTTCCTCTTCCCTGCCCCCGCGTGCGTTTGCCCTTCTTCTGTGGCTGCTCGCTCTCGTCCCTCTCCCCCCCCAACCCCTGTCCCTCTCTGCCCCCCACTTTGGTGTGCAGACACCCCCAGAGCAGCACAGAGGTGTGGAGCCTGGGGTCTGCAGGCCTCCTGTTCCCTGGAGCTCCTGGCCTCGCCATGGGCTGAGTCGCTGAGCAGTTACAGGTCGGGAGAGGCCAGAGGTCCAAAGACCTGGCAAACCTCACCATGTATGTCCTGAGGGACACGGAGTGACAGCCAATGACAGGCACCACACCTGCAGGCAGCAGAGTGGGTGCTGTGTGTGGCTTTTTTTTTTTTTTTTTTGGAGAGGTTTTTTGTTATTGGGCACGTGCGCTCGCCAGACAGAGAGAGACAGAGAGATAGAAAGTGAGAAATCATCCCCCAGAGAGGATGGCCATGCCAGAGTCCCTTCTCCTCCATTCTCCTCTTAGGATCTTGGGCAAGCACGCACACGCGCCCGATGTTGAGTTTAAGCCACTGGGTCTGGGACTCGAACAACGGTCGACTACATGGGAGTCCAGCGACATAGCTGTTACGCTAACTGCTGGTCCCGCTGTGTGTGGCTTTTGAAAAAATGTTCTCCCAGCACTGTTCTTCATGGAGAACAGGAAGAAACGTCCCATCTATGCTCCCAGTTGCCGCACGACGTGTGAGGGGTCAGGACACACGTGGGCCTTCCCCCTTGGGGCCACCTCGAGAGCCCCCGGCTCCAGTCAGCCACTTGTTCACGGCCCGGTGGGAGCCTCTCTGTCCCCTGCCCGTGTGTTTCAGAAAGGAAACACAGCCCTGCACATCGCTGCCCTTGCCGGCCAGGACGAGGTGGTCCGCGAACTGGTCAACTATGGCGCCAACGTCAACGCCCAGTCGCAGGTAATGGCAGCCTCGGCCTGGGTGCTGGGCCCTTGCCACCTTCCTCCCTCATGCATTCCTTTCTGCCACATGGTGCCATCGTGGCTGCCGTGTGGCTGCGCGCACACTGCAGCTCAGTCCATGTTTATCAGCAGTGTCTGTGGTGTGTGTCATGCCTAGACCACACATTCGAGGTGTTATGCCATTGGGTCATTGGGGACCCATCTCTAGCTAGTAAACCAGCCAAGTGACATACCTAGTGTGGCTCATTTGGGGAGAGAAACCGCGTGTGTGTGGGCAGGGCTGAGGTGTGGGGGGTGATGAAGCAGAAGGGGACTGACTGGGTGAGCCTGAGAGGCTGTCTGATGGGGCGAGAGGCAGAGGAGCCCCAGGGGAGCTGCCCCCACCTTGTGGCCTCCTGTAGCCAGCCAGTTGACGGTGACTGGGAGTTTGGGTGGGGTCTCGGCCTGGGGCAAGGTGACGGGAGCTGCAGGGGAGGGCGGCCGCTCACCACCGCAGGCGGCTGCAGTGCCTCCTCTCGGTGTACAGAAAGGCTTCACACCCCTGTACATGGCGGCACAAGAGAATCACTTGGAAGTGGTTAAGTTCCTCCTGGAGAACGGCGCGAACCAGAACGTAGCTACAGAAGTAAGTACCCCGGGAGCGATCCCCGCCACTGCGAGTCCCCAGGCGCACGGCACTGCCGCAGAGCCGCATCCTCCGGGGGCCAGGCTCCAGGGGCGGCCCTGTCCTGAGCAAGGCCTGGCCCCTCACTGGTCCTCAGTGTTCTCGGCTCCTGCAAGGGACTACGGAGACAGTCATGGGTCTTCGTGAGCGCCCAGATGCAGGCCTGAAAGTGACCCCAGACTCAACGCCATTCCCCACAACCAACACACGGGCTGGACCGGAGGGGGTGTGTGCACGTGCATGTGTGTGTGTGCACATCTGCAAGTCTGCCTTGGGCCTTAATGAGAAAGGGCCTGGCCAGGAAGCCACTGTACCCTGGGCAAATGGCACTTGCTCGGACCCCGAGTTTGACACGGGCAGCTAAGTCCTTGACTAGGAGGGCCAGGACTCCTGACCCTAACCTGCATGTGACTGGGCTCCCAGTTGTCGCTCTGCGTCTCAGTCATGGGGTACTGTGTCCCTCAGCACAAAACCGAGGGGCCGAATGACAGCAGCTCACAACCAAATCTCGGCCAGCGTGGTCTCTGGAACCGGGCCTGTTCTGCCCCACTCATGGCCGGTCCCGGGGCTGGCGGGTAGGCGAGCAGCAGTCTAATTGGGTCTCGCTCTCTGCCGGTCAAATACGCGCTGAAGAAAAACACGCAGACCTGTGAGGGCACAGAGGAAGGAAGAGCGGAAGGCTCCAGGGACGGGGCTGCATTTCGGCTGAGCTTGGAGGAGAGGGAGGGCTGGAGAGCAGGAGGAAGCCGAGGCCTGGGGTGGACAGCAGCTGGGGTGTGGAGGCAGGTCGAGGCGAGCAATGCCGTCTTCCCTCCTCTGTCAGGATGGCTTCACGCCGCTGGCCGTGGCCCTGCAGCAGGGCCACGAGAACGTGGTGGCCCACCTCATCAACTACGGGACGAAGGGCAAGGTGCGGCTCCCCGCCCTGCACATCGCGGCCCGCAACGACGACACGCGGACGGCTGCGGTGCTGCTGCAGAACGACCCCAACCCCGACGTGCTTTCCAAGGTAGGAGGCGGGGCGGGGCCAGGCAAGCCCTCCAGCTCCAGACCACTCCCCAAGAGTAAGTCCAGATTGGACAGGTCAGGCCAAAGTCCGCCCCCGGGACACCCCCCCACTCACAACGCAGGACCCCGTAGGCAGTCCTCAGGTCCCTGGTGAACCCGGGGTGGGGCAGGCGAGGTCTGTGGCCCGAGGCAACTCTGGCATCCAGGAGGCGGTCTTCTCTAGCCTCTCCGCTCTCTTCCCTCTGCTCCTCCACTCCTGGAGACCCTGGAGCGTGGAGAAAAGGGGTAGCCAGCCGCTGCACCTGCGTGGCTGGTCTCTGCACATGAGGCCCTTCATCCTGTCTGAGCAGGACGAATTTGCCTTGTACCCCCACACAGTCCCCTCCCTGCCTGCCCCAGGGCACCTTGTTTTGTCTGGGGTTGCCCATGGCTGGAGGCCTCGCAAGGGGGGTGACAATGATGGACTCACCGAGGGGTCAAGGGTCTGCCTTTTCTGATGGCTAAGTGGTTAGACCCCTTCAGGGACCCAAGGCACTCCCCAGAATTAAGATCCAGGCCCACGTTCATAGAGGCCCACCATGCATAATTGCCGAGAGCACACCCAAGTTGGAGGTGGGCTTCGCCTGGGGTTTGTCCAGGTGTCTCTGGGGGCAGACAGCCAGGTCCACACAGTAGCCTTTGACGTGCCCGCCCAAACCTGCCTGCGCACAGGTCTCCTAGCCCGGGGGCTGTTTTCGGGGCCCCGGGCTGCCTGTGAGGGAGGGTGACAAGTCGTCTTCCCCCTGTTGTGCCCCAGACGGGATTTACCCCCCTCCACATCGCAGCTCACTACGAGAACCTCAACGTGGCCCAGCTGCTCCTCAACCGGGGAGCCAGCGTCAACTTCACGCCCCAGGTAACTCTCTGGGGGTGGGGGGGCTCTGAAGTGGGGTGTCCCAGCCTCCTGGGAGGGCACCGTGGGTTCTGTCCTGCAGAAGTGCCTGTGGGTAAACAGCTCTGTGTCCACTAAAGCTCCTCACTGGCCAATTTCTAATGCCTGCCCCCCGTTTCTACCTGCTGGGTCTTGGGGAAACTTGAACCCACATGTGCCTGTTCTAAAGATGGAGCCCTGGAGGGCGAGGACGATTTCCAGGTCACTAGCTCCTTCCAGCCTGTCACTTTGGCTCTGGAGTCGCGAGCTTGGTCCTCGCAGGTTTTAGCGTCGTTCCTGGGCCAGAAATGCCAGCGTGGCATTAAAGTGGCTGCCTGTGCTCCGGCCCTTGTGGGGCTGGGCTGGGGTGGGGCGGACGGGGCCCCAGCATCCAGGAGGAGGCTGCAGGCCTGACGTCCCCGCATGTCCTCTCCAGAACGGCATCACGCCCCTGCACATCGCCTCCCGCAGGGGGAACGTGATCATGGTGCGGCTCCTGCTGGACCGGGGAGCTCAGATAGAAACCAGGACCAAGGTGGGTGCCAGCGCGGGAGTGGCCAGGCCAAGGGTCGTCCTGCCCTCGGAGCCTCCCCCAGAGCGGGGGGTTCTCAGTGACCCTGTACTGAGGGGCTCAGCCCCGGAGCAGCTGCAGCCCTGGCTAGGGTGAGGTGGGGCACACAGAGACAGCCGAGGTGGAGCTGGGCCTGGAGACATAAGCGATTCGCGGCCGCAAATGCCACCGCAGGCGGTCCTCTTGCAGACAGCCTCTGATAGGTGCCTCTCGGGCTTTCTGTTTGGATTCTGTTTTTTGAAGGACGAATTGACACCGCTCCACTGTGCGGCTCGGAACGGGCACGTGCGCATCTCAGAGATCCTGCTGGACCACGGGGCGCCCATCCAAGCCAAAACCAAGGTAAGTGCCTCTGTCCTGCAGGGCTCCAGGCCAGGCAGACCTGGGCCTAGCCCCATCCCTGTGACCCAGAGACACTCACAACGCAACGAGGCAGAGCGTGTGGCAGGGACCAGCGCCTGCCTCACAGGAGGCCCTCGGCGTAGCTCTCCTTATTGTCTAGATCAGGGCAAACTTTTCTTCTCTTAATTATTCTTCCTTCATCGATGATAGACAGAGCCAGTGTGGGCTCACATGAGAGAGAGGAACAGAGAGAGGGGAACGCCGTCCACAGGGGCCGAGTGCACCCTCCATGGCCTCCCATCCCCAGCCCTTCAGGTCTTGGGTGCTCACACATGTGTCTGGCATGCTTCAGCCTGACTGGGCTGGGGATTCGAACTACAGTTGCCTTGTGGGATCCAGCTTCTCTCGAGAGGTGTGTTACTTCTGCACCAAGGAGCCAGCCCATGGGTCAGCAAACTTTTTATCTTTAAGACCAGGTATTAAATATTGTTAGGCTTGCAGGTCACAATCTCTGTAGTGATCTGCTGTAGTGATTAAATTCTACCCACTTAGCAGACATAGCTGTGGGCAGCGTACAAATTCATGCCTGCATTCCAATAAAATTTTATTGACAAGACTGGCAGCCCGCCACACTTGACAGACATGCTGTAGTTCTCTAGATCAACCCCCATCTCTCATCCTTGCTCCAGAAAAGGTAGTAACCAAGTACTCTGAGGAGTCTTCAGAGTCTGGACAGACTGAAGTGAAATGAAAAATAAAAAGATCAGGGAACCAGCAGTTAGCTGGTTGGCTATGTTGCTGGACTCCCACGTAGTCGACCGCGGTTCGCGTCCTGGACCCGGTGGCTTAAAACTCACGCCGGGCGCGTGTGCGTGCGTGCCCAAGATCCCGGGAGGAGAATGGAGGAGAAGGGATTGCGGCGTGACCATCCCCCCTGGGGGGTGATTTCTCGCTTTCTGTCTCTATGTCTCTCTCTGTCTGTCTGGCAAGCGCACGCACCCTATAGTGAAAAAAAAAAAAAACCTCTCAAAAAAATAAAAATAAAAAGATCAGTCCTTCTCAAGCTCCATTAGAGACCAGAGCCAAGGTCCATTCCTCAGCTCTTCGGTGAGGACTCAAGTCTCCCCGGAGTAAAGCTGTCGCCAAGGTGCTGCCTATACCTGCAGGCCCCGCCCTGTTCTCTGGGGTGAATTTAGAAGCTGTGTCAAAGCAGCACGGGGGAGAATGTTTATACAAATTCTTCAGTGAGAACTTCCCACTGCAACGAATAACTATACATAGTACAATCTTTCTAAAAAGCAGCGTTACTAACTTCATCACATTAGCCTGCTCCAGCTGCCATGACAAAAAACCATACATTGTGAGAGGGAACCAGCAGTTAGCATAATGGCTATGTCGCTGGACTCCCACATAATCGACCATGGTTCGCGTCCCGGACCCAGTGGCTTAAAACTCACGCTGGGCGCATGTGTGTGCGTGCCCAAGATCCCGAGAGAATGGAGGAGAAGGGATTGCGGCGTGGCCATCCCCACTGGGGGGTGATTTCTCGCTTTCTGTCTCTCTGTCTATCTGGAGAGCACACGCGCCCTATAGCAAAAATCCTCTCAAAAAAAAAAAAAAAACATACATTGTGAGAAACTGATTGTCTCAGTTCTGGAGACCGGAAGCCCAAGATCAACCTTTCCGTACAATGGGTTTCTCCTGAGAGCTGGGAGGAAGAATCTATTCCAGGCCCCCCCATGAGCTTTTGGTGGTTTGTTCATAAGCACTGGCTTTTTGTGATTTGCAGAAATATCCCCTTCATGGCCTCCTTCATCTGCACGTGGTGTTTTCTCTACACGTGTCAGTGTCCAAATTTCCTGTTTCTGAAGACACTAGTCATGTTTGAGGACCCACACCAATCACCTCATCTCAGCCAATTACATATGCAAACACCTCATGTCCAAATGAGGTCACATTCCAGAGTTCTGTAGGTTAGGACTGCAACATGTGGATTTGGAAGGAACACAACTCAGCTCCCAACACTTAAAGAAAGAAAGTCTGCTAGAGGACACATGTGCTGGCAGGGACAGAGAGAGGGGGAAAATAAGAAAGCCCTCCCCGCAAGGAGGGGATGGCCATACCACAATCCTTGCTTCTTTATTTCTCCCCACTTTCGGGATTGTGGGCACACATGTACATGCACCTGGTATGTTTCTCAAGCAGATGAATCTGGGACTTGGAGTGTGCAGTTGGTCATGTGGGATCCAGTCACCTTAACCACAATGCCACAGGTCAGCCCACAGCTCGTAACACTAACACTGTCAGTGCAGCCCGTTTGTGCTTCTCCTCTCAGTCATCACCCTCTAGAAGACAAAGTCCCTTCCTGGGACAGCTCCTTTGCCTCTCCAGCCAGCTCTGTTTCCCATCACACTTGTCCTCTTGTATGTTTAACTGTAGAGAGGCCCCGCATTCCTCTGGGCTGGCTCGTTCCACCATAATGCACCCCCCCATTCCCCTCTTTCCGTGTGTCTTCCTGGTGAACTAACATTTGGCTTCTTTCAAGTCCTCATTCAGGAATCGCCTCCTGCAGGAAGCCCGTCCACCCCATGTCTCTTCCTCTTCCTCATTGGGTACTCCATCCTTCAGTGTATAAGTCTATGTTGTCCTCCTGTCCTGCCTGGCTGGGTGGCAACAACGTATCTGTCTGCAAGTTTCCTTAGGCTGGGAGTATTGTCTGTTCCCTTCTGTTTCCTGAGCTTAACCATATCATGTGCACATTAGTCACTTCAACATTAGTTGATTTAATGACTCAATGAATGAATGAGTCCCCTCCATCTTCAACATTTTTAAAATACATTGCTGTCTGAAAAACAGAACCCTTAACAGATTTTTCTTTTTAAACATAGGTGTATTTCTTAGGGACAAAGAACAGAGGGAGTTAGACCCCAGCTCCATCTTACCGTCATTCTTTCAAAGCCACGTGGGTTAAGGACTGCTCTGTGCTGAGCACCAGGGGGCGCCTAACACATACCAGACATAGCCACTGACCTGAGAAGCTTCTGAGTGAGGAAGAGAGACAAGTTAGCTACAGATATCATTCAGCAAAAGTAAGAACAAGATCTAGGCCAGCTCTGCAGCGTGGTGGCTAAAGGCCATGCAGAGGGAGCAGGATCCCACGTGGCCAACCTTGGTTCAAATCTCAGCTCCGGTGGTAACACATTGGGCATATATACACACATGCCCAGGATCCTGGTGGGGTGGGGAAGTGGAGGAAAAGGATTGCGGTGTGATCAGACCCTGCAGGGGCGTGCTTTTTCTCTTTTTCTGTCTCTCTCTGATATGTGCATCTGTCCTCTGGTATTAAAAAAGAAGGATCTGAATGAATAGTACTGATAAAGAAAGCCACAGGCATTGAAGGTGGTCAGAGAGGGCTTCCTGGAAGAGGTGGGCCTAGCTGGAAATGGCTTTGGGGCTTTGGCTAGGTGGAAAGGAGAACCTTTGTGATCAGAGACCAGCAGAAACATGGATCAGAATGACTCCAAACCCACATGGGTCATTCTGGTGGTCAGGTGCCACCTGGAAGCCACGTTGGGAGAAGTGGGAAGAGGCATGGTCCTGAATTTCCATGTTCTCCCCAGAAGGCTTTGCAACTGCTTGTTCTCCCTCTCCACTCAGAATGGCTTATCCCCAATTCACATGGCGGCTCAGGGAGACCACCTCGACTGTGTGCGGCTCCTGCTGCAGTACAACGCGGAGATAGATGACATCACCCTGGACCACCTGACCCCGCTCCACGTGGCAGCCCACTGCGGCCATCACAGGGTGGCCAAGGTCCTTTTGGATAAAGGGGCCAAGCCAAACTCCAGAGCCTTGGTAAGTGGGAGGCACTGGAGGAGGCGTCAGGGAAGGGAGAGGCAGAGGGAGGCTGGAGCTGAGCCTCAGGGTGGCACCACAGGGGCCTGATCAGCCTCGGGGCCCTCACAGGCACATCGGTGCCCTCGATGCGAGCTTGGAGCTTGTCCTTTACAAGCCACTCCACACCGCTCTGGTGTCATCTCAGCCGACATGCCAGGATCTGCGATGAGTCTGGCCCAGGATGCCTGAAGCAGGAAGAAGTGTCCATGGGGGTTGCAGGGACTGGCCCAGAGCTGAGGGACGGTGATGTCTCAGAGGCTGCCTGGCTCTTTGACTGGCTTTGGGTGCAGTGGAGTAGTGAGGTCTGAGCGTCCTTCCTCTGCAGAGGGGTTTATGTTTTCAGGGTGAGCTCCTGCAGAGGGGAGCTCAGGCTGAAAGCAGATTCCTCCTGAGGTGCTTATTCCTCCTCCCCCAGGCAGGGCTCCAGGGTTTCTAGGGGACTTGGGGGCTGCAGCTCTGCATAAAGCATGCCCAGGCCCACCATCTCCACTCTGCCCCTTCCTCAGGGAAAGCTGAAAGGGTGGGAGGAATGAATAAATGAGTCATTCATTCATTCAGAAGTGATTTCATTGAACACTGACCAGATGCCACGTGCCATGCTAGGTAGTCGGGGGTTCTCACCTCGAGACCCGAAGTTCAGGGCCACACTCTCTCCTGCCCTGTGCCCTGAGGGACGTTTAGCAGCCTCCTGGCCTCTGCCCGTGAGGCGCTAATAGCTCTTCTCCCTCTTTGCGACAACTAGACGTGTCTCTACTGAGAACTGCTGCCCAGAGATAAAACACACACACACGAGAGGCAAGCTAATCAATAAACGGACAAAAGCCCTGCCCTTGTGGCATTTATGGTCTAGAATAACATACTTGAGAGGGGAAATTCTTTTCACTAAAAATGATCAGCGGTTTCGGGAAGAAGGAACAGGGCTTGCTTCGTTAAGTGGCCCTGGACTGTAAGCGTCCCCTATGGAGCGCTACACAGCAGGCTCTCCCAGTGCACACAGGGTACGATTACTTTTTGAGAGCGAGTTTATAAACCTGCTCAGCCACAGGCCTGGAGCAGAGACCGAGAGCTGCCTGGCTCGTGCGTGCTTCCTGGTGATCGACATTAGACATTACGAGACTCACCATGGACAGCAATTCCTTCCGAGCTGTGTAGGATCTGCTGAGGGCCCAGGCAGAGCCGCCTTGCGGAACAGCAGGGTGGTCTCCTAGGTGTCCGGCGCTGGTGTGTAAGCTCTGGCTTGTCTGTGTCCTTTGTGTGGGCTGCAGAATGGCTTCACGCCCTTACACATCGCCTGCAAGAAGAACCACATCCGGGTCATGGAGCTGCTGCTGAAGACTGGTGCCTCCATCGACGCCTCCACGGAGGTAGGAGGGCCCCGCCACACCTGTCCGCTGCCCTGTCCTCCGTGGGCCTTGTCCTGGTCTTCCACCCTGTCCTCCTCCCCTGGCCACATCCATGCCCACTGCCCACTCCTCCACTGGCCTTCTCTGGGAGGGTTTCTCTGTAGCGACGTGGTGCTGTGGAAGCAGGGGGATCTGCAAGTCTGGGCTGCTCAAAGGAGCACCCGCGGGGAGTACTGTCGGGGACCACGTGTCTGGTCCCAGGGAGCTTTCCACAGACATGCGCAACCTTTCCAGTCGGAGCGGTGGGCAGAACCTGCTCTGCAGTGAGCTTTTTCTTCCAGCCGTTTTCCTGGGAGCCAATCTATCTCATTTAACACCCTTTCCTTGGAAAACCACTTGTGGAGCGCCTAGTGAGAACGGAATCGGGCGCCGTCTGCCTCGCTCTCCCCCTGGGGAGCGGGGAGACCCACGTACCTCACTGCTCTTGTCTGTTCTAGTCCGGCCTGACCCCTCTCCACGTGGCCTCCTTCATGGGGCACCTGCCCATCGTGAAGAACCTCTTGCAGCGGGGGGCCTCGCCCAACGTCTCCAACGTGGTAAGCCACCGGGGCATGCTCGGGGGGCCTCCTCTCCGGGACTGAGGGGATTCTCAGAACAGCCAGCATTTCGGACTGGGGAGAACACCCGTGTACCCCGACGCTGTCCCAGTGAAATTTGCCACACTGTAAATTCTGAGGGTTCTGTTTTGTACAGTAACTCTGGGACATCTGTGTTACCTGAGAACACCTTTCCATTTGTGAATATTCATTATCTCCGGGGCTTACTTTGAACATGCCCAGGACACACACACACACACACACACACACACACACACAGGACTTGCCGGGACACCTTCACCTTGTGGGCAGAACCCCACCAAGCTGCTCCAGGTGGCCCTTCGAGCTATGGGTGTGTCCCCGAGGATACCCAGCTCTTGCCGACAGTTCTGTAATTTCGATACTTCACAGAAAGTGGAGACCCCGCTGCACATGGCCGCCAGGGCAGGGCACACGGAAGTGGCCAAGTACTTGCTCCAGAACAAAGCCAAGGTCGATGCCAAGGCCAAGGTGCGCTCTGGGCCGGGAGGGAGGGGCCTGGGATGGAAGCACTCTGGGCCAGGAGGGAGGCCCTGGGACACAAGTGCCTTGAGCCTGACGAGGAGCTCCCTGGTCCTGCCGGGCAGCGGGGCGTGTGGTTCTGACTGCCCGAATTCTTCCTTGGGGGGTTTCAAGAAAGGTAGAGATGAGAAGTTCATTTGTTTTTCCCTTCACGAGAGGGACAGGAAGAGGCACCCCATCAGGGCCCCATGCCATGACCCACCCCAACTGTAGCTGACCCAGTCACAGTCACAGAAGCTGGGTGTACTCGGGCTCGGGACGAGAACCTAGGACCTTCCCCATGTGAGTCCAGCTGTGTGGTGGTCTCTGTGCTGCTTTGGAAGAGCGAAGCCCAAGGAGCTGGCTGGCCTGCAGGACCTGGTGGAGGGAAGGAGGCAACTATTTTTTTTTATTCTGAGAGAGCTTTGCTATAAGCCATGTGTGCTCACTGGCAAAAGAGAGAGAGAGACAGAGAGATAGAAAGTGAGAAATCACCCTCGGGCGGGAGGGGATGGCCGTGCTGCAATCCCTTCTCTCAGAATTTTGGGCACACACGCACATGCGCCCAGCGTGTTTTAAGCCATCGTATCCTGGACTCGAACTGCAGTTGACTAAGTGGGAGGCAGCTTTTTGAAGGAAGTGTTGCTAATGAGAACCAGCCAGGAATTGCCTATCTCCAGGGGGAGGAGCCCTTTGGAGGAAATGCATTTGAGTCAGGGCAGGGCCGTGCTGCTCTATCCACGGTGGAGAGCTCCCCTGAGGGCCGACCAGGCTTGTGCTGGGGCCACGCGTGGGAGCCTCTTGGTATTGCAGACACCTCGCCTGTCGGGCCCCACCAGCATCAGCCATAAAGGGGAAGCAGGACAGGGAGAGGGCAGCCGCCATCTGTCCCCGCCAGCAGTTTACTCGCCATGACCCCGGCAGAGAGGGCATCAGTGGAGTTCAAACAGAAAGGACACCAGGGCGAAGGCAGCGGTCTTGTGCCAAGCACAGAGGGGCCCTCCGAGTCCTACCCTGTCCCGGGGCGGGTGTGACAGCTCACAGTTTTCAGGCAGGGGAGCCGAGTCTGTGCGGTTAATAGAACGAGCCGCTGCCGTGGAGGCTGTCGTAAGGGTGAAAGGAGCTGGAGCGGGTTTCAGCTCTCCATCCTCGTAGCTGTGTGGCCTCAGAAAGACGCTTGTCCTCTCTGGGCCTCACCTTTGTAAACAAGAGTCGGCCCCGTTAACATCACCATTGGCCCGCCTTTGTTCTCACTCGGGGGTCCAGGACGACCAGACCCCACTGCACTGTGCTGCTCGCATCGGCCACACGAGCATGGTGAAGCTCCTGCTGGAGAATAACGCCAACGCCAATCTGGCCACCACAGCCGGCCACACACCTCTGCACATCGCAGCCCGAGAGGGCCACGTGGACACCGCCCTGGCCCTTCTGGAGAAGGAGGCGTCTCAGGCCTGCATGACCAAGGTACACTCCAAGGCCTGTTGCCGCCAGGCCTAGACACGGAGGGTATCCCTGTGTGCTGCTCGGTCGCCTTGGTGACACTGCAAGCAGCTGGGAGGGCCAGATCCACAGGCCTGGCCCCCGGTCAACGAGCCTGCTGGGGACTGACCTGCACCTGGCCTGCTTTCACTCTTCCGCTCACTGGGGCAGTCACCTGCTGAGCACCTATCCCGGGCGGGCGGGTGGCAGACAGCCCTGAGTAGCCGAAGGATGGCCCTACCGGTCCCATAACCAGCGGTTAGACGGTGCAGGAGGGGTCGCACTTGCCCCCCGGGGAAGGGCAGCGGGGACAGTAGGGGGAGCCTTGAGTCACTGAGCTTCTGCACCAATGGCTCCAGGTGCCAGCACGGGTCGGCGCCCTGACAGCCTGTGTTTCTCCTCAGAAAGGATTTACACCTCTCCACGTGGCAGCCAAGTACGGGAAGGTGAGGGTAGCAGAGCTTCTCCTGGAGCGGGACGCCCACCCCAACGCTGCGGGGAAGGTGAGAACACGCCCCCACGCCGGGCTGGAGTTGGCCCAGGGAGCCGTCACCACCTGTGGATCCCAGCGCTTGCTGTTTGCCTTGCCTTTGAGTGGGTGGCCCTCTAGAGAGACCGACCTGGAAGGCCAGATCTCTCAGTCAAGCCCGGTCACTGTTGGAGTGCCTGGGGGCCGACTCCTTGGTCTCACTGTCCCCTCCATCGGGCCCCATGGGAATGTGGCGATGGCCCAGCTCCTCCTGGTTGTGCCCTGGGATGGCTCCTGGGAAGGCTGGCTTTGGGAAGATTTCCGTACAGAATAAGAGGTGCCCTGTCTCAGAGGGACCCCCACAGCAGCGCCCTGTAGTGAAGCTGCTCTCTCCTTGCAGAACGGCCTGACGCCCCTGCACGTGGCTGTCCATCACAACAACCTGGACGTGGTGAAGCTGCTGCTGCCGCGTGGCGGCTCCCCACACAGCCCTGCCTGGGTAAGGCCCCCACCGTGAGGGGACGCAGGGCCGCCGCTCGTGGGCCGCCCACGGGTCATGTGTTGTTCTCACTTCGGCCTCACAGATGCGACCCGCAGGATCGGTACTGTGCTCGGGGCAGGAGGGGATAGGGTGGGTCACCTCGTGGAGCGGGTGTGCCCCAGACCGCTGTGCCAGCTAGTCCTATGAACGGGCGGCCAGAGGCCAACATGGTGAGAACCTCCCCTCTCAGAGCACTGAGCCTTGTCCTCAGAGCTGCACCTCAGTGAGACTGCATCTGGCCAGGGGTGTCCTTTTGTACCGCCATAGGCGGCCCTGATGCTGGGGTGCAGTGGCCATGCTCTGGACAGATTGTAGGCTGTGACTGAGCCTGCTGGAACCTCAAGGCAGGACCCCCTTTTCAATGTGGGTGCTCACCCCCACATTCATCTTTCTCACGAGTCCAGACTTTCAGATCAGGCCTCATTTTTCAAATAGTGCACGTCGTCCAGCCTTGTGCCGGCCCTGACAGGAGCTGCTCAGAACAGTCAATCCCGTGGCCCTAGGGACCAGCCAAGGGAGCAGACGGGGCTGCTGGCCGACCAGACTGGGGCAGGGTTCAAAGATAGGGCCGGCACTGAAGGACTTTTGGGGGGACCAGGCTGCCCCCAAGTGGGAAGGTGAGGGTGGGTTTTGTAGTGGGGGGCTGGGGGCTGGTGGAGGGGAGAGGAGGGAGCAGGCTGGGTTACAGAGACACACGCAGGCCTGCACTCCAAGAGAGGACGAGATGGGGCGTCCCAGTGCCGCAGACAAGGGAGCCACGCTGAGACCCTCATGCTTCTTGCCCTGCGGGGCAAACCGGCCTGGGGCTTGGTGGTTTTGCTGCCTGGTTCAGACACCGTCTCCATCCCACAGCAGGGCTTTCTGTACACGCAGCACCTCCCCGCAGCCCTGTCTCGTCCTGGCTTCTGTCCCCGCTTCTGTTGTAGCAAGGCCCACGTGACCGTCACCGTGCAGGGGTGCAGGCCGCCCCGCAGAGACATTGACTTACTCCTGCCGCTAAAAATAAAAGCCGGACTCCCCCCTCCTCGCTCTCCCACATACACACAAGCTACCAGAGCCAGGTTCTCGATATTTCCAGAGAGCTCCATCCAGGCACGGGCCCTGTACAGATGGCTTTTGTCTCCATGGCAAAAAATAGTTTCCAAAGTCGTCTGGCAATTTTGTGGAATTTCACATGCAAATCTCTCTGCACCCAAACCAAACCCTCCCCTTTCTAATTTTGATGCAAATGTTGTTCTGACAGTCAGACTGAGTCCGCTCCGGGTGCGGTGCTCGGTGCTCGCCTTCGCCTTCGGATGAGCTCATTTCCTCGGGAAGAAGAGCCTTTTCCTGGCATCCCTTCCTTCCTCGCCTCTCCTGACTCCTTGGCCTAGTTGTCCCTTGTCCTTGCCACCCTCAGGTCATTTGTTCCCTTTAGTCCCAGTCCCGGGGAAGCGCTGAGGGCTGGTCTGTGTCCTGGTACAGTGACTCTTGAAATCTCAGTTTTAACCAGGGGTTACTGGCATCTCAGCTGTCCCCAGGGTCAGCTTGCCTTCTGCCAGGACAGGTGCCACTCTTGCCAGTAGCAGCCCAGTGGCCTGGGCTACGGATCCATTTCAGATCGCCCCAGCGACCGTCTGACGCGTGCACTGAGAGGAGGCCCTGTAGGCATTGCTTTCGTGTATGAATGCCCGCTCCGGACCTGCCCTGGGTGGGTCCGACCTCGCCCATCACCCCACAGCAGAGCTCGGCACAGACATCTGGAGCTTCTATCCTGAGATGCACATCTCCTGAGATAAATCCCGACACAGGCTGGTCCAGGCGGCCGCATCCCTTCCTTTGATCTCGTCTGATACAGTACAGAAAGCGTTTTGCTTCGTTAATTTTATTATCCCCCAAATGCCGATCTTGTTTTATGAGCACAGCCTATCAAAAATAACTTAATGTTTTCTCTTAACGTAATCACATGTAGAAGGAGGAATACTAGAAAGAATGGCCTTATGTAATTCTTCCAAGAGAAGGATTTTTCGGTTCAGATTATTCTTTTGGTAAATGACCTTTCATTCCCCCGTGAAAGCCCCTTATGGATTAACCTTGCAAGCCTTTCCCCGGCCCCGCCACCCCCGCCCCAGTGCGATACAACTGCGGTTTCACTGAGTCCCTCAGCCCTTTCCGTCCCATTCCTTGTCTTGACCAGCCATCTCAGTAGAGTCAGAAATGTCGATTTCCCCAGTGAGACCGTGTCTGGCAGAGGACAAGTTCAGGGGCAGCTAGAAAGATGTTGGCAGAGGCGGGATTCTCATGCCTGGGGGCAGGTCTCACGTTGGGTAGCCTTCTGCCACAGGGCAGGGCAGGCGTGTGCCTAGAGTCCTGGGCCCTGGCCCGAGGTCTGGGCCTGGCAACCCTTTCCTCCCAAGCTATCTGGGGCCTTGCTCCTTAGTGTAGGCCCTGGCCCGGCAGTATCAGCAGCCCCTGGGAGCTTGTTATAAATGCAGGGTCTCGGGCCCTCTCTGGACCTTCTGAGTCAGAATCTGCATTTAGCAAGGTCCCTGGTGGTTTTTTGAGAAGCACCGCTCAAGCTGCAGGAAGTGTGGTCTGGAGCCAGAAGGCCAGGCTTGGGCTACCTGCAGTTCCAGTTACCACGGGACATCAGAGCGGGCACGTAGCCTCCTGGAGAATGACCGCTTTACCACAAAATGGGGTGATAATAGGGAACCAGCAGTTAGCGTAATGGCTATGTCGCTGGACTCCCACGTAGTCGACCGCGGTTCGCATCCCGGACCCGGTGGCTTAAAACTCACGCTGGGCGCTTGTGCGTGCGTGCCCAAGATCCCGAGAGGAGAATGGAGGAGAAGGAATTGCGCTGTGACCATCCCCCCTGGGGGGTGATTTCTCGCTTTCTGTCTCTCTGTCTCTCCCTGTCTGTCTGGCGAGTACACACGCCCTATAGCGAAAACCTCTCCAAAAAAAAAAAGAAATGGGGTGATAATGTAAACGCCCGTTTTACATACCCCCCATGATCACAGTGAAGTTAAAAGGGAGAACATAGGTAGAAGTGGTTCCCAGCAGTGATGGCCAAAGGGGTCCTTCTGGAGGCGGCCCTCAGTTCAGGGAGGAGAGGACCTTGCTCCAGTATAGAGAACCCATGCACCGCTGCCTCCATGGAGAAAGCCTTGCTACCATCAACAAATAAATAGAAAATGTTAGCGGAGTAAACTGCGTACGTTCTGGCCCAGGCTCCTGTTCTTGTGTGGACACATGGCATCTTGCAGACCAGGGCACTGCATAGCCACGACACTCACTGACGTGCTTGCTTCCACATCTGAATTTTGGAAAGCACCTTTGCACACGTTACCATGTGACCCACCCAACAACTTTGAGAAATGAGCAGTGTAGACGTTATTATCCACAGCTGATGGCTTAAAAAATCCCTAAGCAAGTATAGGTTGTTGACCATCTTGCCCTGGATCACACAGCTAGGTAAGAGTGGGAGGAGAGGGCCAGCAGATGGCGTGGTGGTTAAGGCACTGGATTCTCACATGACTGACTGCTGTTCAAGTCCCAAACCTAGTGGCATAAAAATCACACCAGTGCATGTGCGTGTGCATGCACATGCATGCCCAAAATCCTGAGAGGAGGATGGAGGAGAAGGGATTGCAGTGTGGCCATCTTCCCTGGGGAGTGAGTTCCTACTTTCCCTCTCTCTGTCTCTCTCTCCAGTGAGTACACACTCCCTATGGCAAAAACCTTTTATAAAAAGAAAAGGAGTGAGAAGGACTGACCCCCATGTCCTTGGGTCCCTCGTGGCCCCTGTCCCCTCACCCCACACTGTCTGGTTCTGGCAAGCCCAGGGGGCAGCCCTTGGCCCAGTTGCACAGAGAGAAAGGGCTGCTGCTTTTCCCCTATGAGAAGTTTGGGCTCTTGTTTCTGAGCGTAGGAAGGAGAAATGGGAACCTTCACCTACCTAGATTTCTAGTTGTCCTACGGGCTGCCTGGTTGGGTCCCAGCTTTTCCTGGTGACAGAGCATTTGCTGCCCAGCAGATTGTCAGAGCGTGGTACCAGAAGACAGATGACGGCGAGAGACTCGGACGTCTGCTGCCTCTGGGAACCAGGGGCTGTCTCCCAATCGAACGGGTTTTGCTGGCTCGTTGTTTCCTTCAGTGGCTCTCCTGGTGCCACCAGCCTGCTCGGTGGGCCCCCTCCCAGGGCTCCGAGTGTCAACGCAGCATTCTGTAACCAGGCTGCGGGCTGCCCCTTCTGTTTCAGAATGGCTACACCCCCTTGCACATCGCTGCCAAGCAGA